TCCCTGTGGCATCGCTGACATTCCTCAGCGGATCACGTCCGTCTTCTCATGGAAATCAGTTGCCTTCGACATCCTTCATGCAACACCACTCGTTCCAGGTTTGCAGTTAGTGATGGTCCTCACAAACCTTTAGAAACACTTTTGACACATAACCTCACCAAGGTGTTTCTACCAGTAGGAAACGCTATTACATCTTTTGTAATAGCGAGTCGTGCCGCCTTAAACGCTTGCATGCCCAGTGAGCAAGCACGCAGCGTGGCTAGCGAGCGAGAGCTCAGTGCTAGGCAGTTAAACTCGGAGCCTTTGGAAAGATCGGAGCACAAGTAGAATGTGGGTCCCGTGCCCCAGAGCTTTTGTCTATTGGTGTGACATGAAGTTTGCGATGTAACCGGTAAGAAAATATGAGTCTACACTTTAGAGGCAGTTTAAAAGATGTGAACCATTAAACAGACGTTTGTAAAGGTGCGGTTGAGAGGCGCTGGCCCTATTCTGGTGGCTGTTTCGTGTTTAACGAACGTTAGCAAAACACGCTTCCTAGTCAATTGTCGTTCATGGAATGTAAACACGTCGTTATGTCAGAAAGAGCACCCTCGCATCTCGAGCTAGTGGCTGCGAGGAGTCGCCTCTCTGCTTGAAGATCTCCTTACTCAAACGCTTGACACAAACTCCAGCGTCTTCTCCACAACATTGTACATATCGGCGAGACAACGAAAACATGTGTCGTACAAATCCCACACCTACGAACAGACGGTTCTTGTCGCCAGACTTGGGTGCGTCTTGATTGCAAGACACAATCGTGGTTTCCAGAATTTGGCCCAAAAATCCAGAGATGCTCCATCCAACCATGGCTTCATTTTTCATTTGGCTTTCGGTCATGAACACGGGTATCCTCTACTGCGTCACGGCTTACGTCGTCTGGGGCGTCTTGCCCATCTACTGGAAGCAGCTCGAAGTCGTGCCCGCCGACCAGCTTGCGCTCCACCGCATTGTCTGGTCGTTTGTCTTCCTCTTGATCGTGCTTGCGATCAAGGGCGAGTTCACCGCCTTGCGGCAAGAAGCCCGCGGCTGGCGCGTCTTTGCCGTCTACACCGTCTCGAGCGTAGTCATCCTCGCCAACTGGATGACTTATATCTGGGCCGTCAACGCCGGCTACATTGTACAGACGAGCCTCGGGTACTTCATCACGCCGCTCATCAACGTCATCATCGGCGTCGTCGTCTTCAAGGAGAAGCTCCGGCTCTGGCAGTGGCTCGCGATCGGCGCAGCGTTTGCTGGTGTCTTGGTCGTTGCGATCGCGTACGGCAAGTTTCCGTGGGTCGCGCTCACGCTCGCGGTTTCCTTCTCGATCTATGGTGTCCTCAAAAAGCAAGCGCCGCTCAACGCTCTCCACGGCATGACGGTCGAGACGGGCATCCTCTTTGTGCCGGCCGTCATCTACCTCTCAGTCGTCCAAGCTCAGGGCAACGGCGCCTTCTTGCACGTCAGCACGACCGCCAACATCTTGCTGGCTGGCGCGGGCATCGTGACCGTGATTCCACTCTTGCTGTACGCGTCGGCGGCGCAAAAGATCCCGTTCAGCCTCCTCGGCATGCTGCAGTACATTGGACCGAGCCTCATGTTCATCATGGGCGTTGCCGTCTACAATGAAGATTTCTCGCTGGTGAAACTCATTGGATTCGTCCTAGTGTGGGTGGCGCTCGCCGTCTACTCGGTCGAGGGTTTTGTGTATCAAAAGCAGCAAGTGGCCAAGCCGGCGGCTGTCGAATCGCCACGGGGCGATGAGGCCGCATACGAGCGCGTCTAAGGACTTGGTTCCGAAACGACTAGTACTTATTGGTCAACTTGGTTTGTTTTTGTGTTCTCAGTCAACTCGCTCGCCTTCCTCTTTGATGGCGCTTTTTGCTCAAGCTGTGGCCGGAGTCGTGCCACACGGTTCACCGCGAAGGACGCACTGTCAAACAACAGCGATGCCGCGCAAACAGCTTCTGTGGTACAGCACGGTTCTTCCGTGCAGCAACGCCATCCAGACCGTCGGCACGATCCACCCTCTGTCAAACGATACTACCTTCGCTTATACATTGGGCTGGGTGTCCTAGCCGTGCGATCGATTCGTTTGCCTATTAACAGCTATTTACGTCGTGCGTTGCAGCTGTTTGCTCTGAGATCGTGCCATGTGCATGATCCATCAGCATCGGTGCAGCTTTGAACCAAGTGGCGTGAAAAATCCAGTACTGATTTCCAAGAATAAGCTATGCAATAAGATATGGACGGCGTCCATTGTCGTCGGCATAATTCGAATTTGGTGGCATCAAAATCCAACAAAAGACAACTTGTTTGATTTTACAGTGTCGCTCTACGCAGACGCCTTCTGCGTCTATCGCTAGAACGCGTTTACACGCGGACATACGGTGTGGTGCCGTCGGCCTCGGCGTCCGCTTTCGCCTCACTTGTCACGTCGGCAGCATCGACGGGCGGTGTCTGCTTGCTCGACTGTTGATGGACGACAATACCTTCGGTCGAGTAGATGGCGAGGGCCACCCAGACAAGGATGAAACCAATGAGCTTGAACGTCGAGAAGGCTTCGTTGTAGACGAGGACGCCAATGACAAACATGAGGCTCGGGCCAATGTAGTGCAGCACGCCGAGGAGGCTAAACGGAATGCTCTGCGCCGCAGATGCAAAGAGGACCATTGGAATCACGGTCACCACGCCGGCACCGACAAGCAGAAAATGGCTGAGTGTATCCACATGAAGAAACGCCCCCGACCCCATGCCCTGGACGACCGAGAGGTAGATGACGGCCGGTACAAAGAGGATTCCTGTTTCGACCGTCATGCCGTGGAGCGCACTCAACGGCGCTTGTTTCTTGACGATTCCGTAGAGCGAGAACGTGCTACCGAGCGTGAGCGCGATCCATGGAAACTTGGCGTACGCGATCGCAATGACCAAGACACCCGCAAACGCGAGTGTGATCGCGAGCCACTGCCAAAGCCGAAGCTTTTCCTTAAAGACGACGACCGCCACGACGACGTTGACGAGGGGCGTGATAAAGTAGCCGAGGCTCGTCTCGACAACGTAGCCGGCGTTGACAGCCCAGATGTACACGACCCAGTTGCTGAGGATGATGATGCTCGCAATCGTGTAGACAGCAAAGACGCGCCAACCGCGGGCCGCGGCGCGGAAGGCTTTACAGTCGCCTCTCACCGCAAGGACGATGAGAAGGACGAGGAAGGACCAGACGATGCGGTGGAGCGCGAGCTGCTCCGCGGGCACGGCCTCGAGCTGCTTCCAGTAGATGGGGAGGACGCCCCAAATGACGTACGCAGTCGACGCGTAGATGATGCCCGTTTGCATGGTGAAGGCAAGATGAATTGTGCGGAGCAAAGCATGGAACGAGCAGACGTCGGTAAGAAAAGACAGACGACGGACACCCAGCGTAAAAGACTGGTTTCCAGCGAGACGCAATCCGGACAAAATTTGGGCCCTGGACCAAGGGGTGACACACCTGTTGGCGCGCACCACGGTGAGTCAACCGCTTTTTAAACTTAAATAACACCAAAAAGGTGCATCTAAGAGATGTTGTTTTGCCGAAAAGTACATCAAGTTTTGCGAGTTCTTGAAAAAATTGCGATTGTGATGTCGTCGTAGATTGTTGTCGGCGTCGCAGCTTGGATTGGGCGACCTCGAGCTTGCTAGATTGTAATTACTGTTATTTAACCCTTGAAAAATGAATGGAACGCTTCCTTCTGTTTGAGCAAGCGTCACCACATGGTTGTGGTTGCACTTGGGCCTGTTGCCGGTCCACGGCCAAATGTCTTTGATTGCCTCACTTTGACCAGCATTGTGCATGAAGAGTGACGGTCGTGACCCGTTGGTTGGCACTCTTCGGCAGGTTGCATGGCAGGAACAAACGGCAGTCGCTTATGAGTACTCGTTCTTGGATTCGTCGGCGTGCTAACGGTTGCATTTTACTACGGTGGTCTGCTCACGCTTCGGATAGCTTTGCGGTGCGACAACATCACCGACGCGTGGTAAGCGTCACGCTAGCAGAGACAAGCTATCGACATGTGGGCATAAACTTTAGCGAGAGTACATTGTCGTGCAAGGACAATCGGTCGAGGACCCAGAAGCACACCAACTCGTATTCAAATCCAGCCAGTCGAGGAGGGTACACGCCAATGACAAAGCAAAACATCACATTTGCATACAAGCTTTGAACGGGCCAAGTGCGATGGATCTGGAAAAGTTTTCATTTCGATTACAGTGCGTTTGTGTTTCATGTGAGCGACTATGCCGATAGTTGCTCGCAGTGGGAGGACTCGTCTAAACGCGCGCGTATGGTGTGTCGCCCTCCGCATCGATCGTCGTCTCGTCTTTGGCAGGAGAAGTCGCTTCGATGGTTTGCTCCACGGGCGACGTGAGTAGGGCTTGCTTGGCTGCTCTCTGGTGCGCGAGGCCTTCGACCGTGTATATAGCAAGACCCGTCCAGACAAGAATGAAGCCAATGAGCTTGGCTGTCGAGAAGGCTTCGTGGTAGACGGCAATGCCCAACACAAACATGAGGCTCGGGGCAATGTAGTGCAGCACGCCGAGAAGACTCAGTGGGATTCGCTGCGCCGCGGACGCAAACAGCACCATTGGGATCACTGTCACAACACCGGCGCCAACAAGCATGAGGTTGTGCCCCGTGCTCACATGCAAAAAACCGCCATCGCCCATGGCCTCAGCGACCGAGAGATAGACGACAGCCGGCACAAAGAGGATGCCCGTCTCGACCGTCAAGCCGTGGAGCGCACTCAGGGGCGCTTGCTTCTTGGCGACGCTGTAGATGGAGAACGTGATACCGAGCGTGAGCGCGATCCATGGAAACTTGGCGTACGCGATCGCAATGACGAGGACACCCGCAAATGCAAAGCCCATCGCGAGCCACTGCCAGATCCGAAGCTTCTCCTTGAAGACGAGGACGCCGACGAGCACGTTGACGAGGGGCGTGATAAAGTAGCCAAGACTCGTCTCGAGGACGTAGCCAGCGTTGACAGCCCAAATGTACATGACCCAGTTGCCGAGGATCGCAACGCTTGCGATCGTGTAGATGGCAAAGACGCGCCAACCGCGAGCTGCGGCGCGGAAGGCTTTGAAGTCGCCCTTGACCGCGATGATGAAAAGGAGGACGAGGAACGACCACGCGATGCGATGGAACGCGAGCTGGATCGCCGGCACGGCGCCGAGCTGCTTCCAGTACATGGGGAGGACGCCCCAAATGACGTACGCTGTCGCGCCGTAGAGAATACCAGTTTGCATCTTGGAGATCAAGTTGAAAAGTGACAAGGTCATGATGTCGTAAATACCAATCCGGTTGTTTGTTGCTGACTGCCGGATGCTCGAGCGACGGCAAAGTTCGCTGGTTGCGAGGAATGGTATTAATATTTGTTGTGTCCAGAGGATCCAGCGCCAGCCATGCGATGCGCTATGGTACATGTACAATACGTAACCTGAAACTACAAATTAAACTTGGTTTAAACATTGGCGGTGTACAATATGCGTAGTTTTGGGCTGCATCCTCTCTGCCATGTTGGCAACATGTAACTCTTGTCGAATAGAGCGACGTCGACACAATTCGAGTGCTTCTTTCCTTCATCGTGATGGCGCTCCTTGAAATACTAGCAGAGAGTATGGACTGCGGAACGAGTGCCATGTAAAAAAGTTTTTATTTAAAACGTATCGTTGAATTTCGTGGTGGTGAAAGCTGTAAGCACGTGCTACGGTTGGGATCCGGGGCAGTATCCACAACACGCACCACGCGCCACGACGCGACAATTGTGGAGGCCCACTGGACACTTGATTGCCTCACTTGGACCGACATTCCGTGTGAAGAGTGATGGTGGATACTGCATCTATGTACTGCATCCTTCGATGTATCAATGAATATAGGCTTTTGGAGGAAATGCGGATATGCGGCAACTTCCATCCCGCAAGTCCTGTGGCGGAGAATGGCTTCGAGGCTCTGGCCATACACGTATCTTATACAATACTAGTACCAAGGATATAGAATCTGAAAGCGCATTCGTTGTGCTGCATAAAATATATTCAGCGCTTCAGTTACATTGGCAAGCGTGGGTTGGTCTTATTTGAACCGGACTTTACCACACCTGATAGCAGCTTTGGTAACGAGTGCATTCGAGTAGAACCAGGACGTGCTCTTCCATAATAGTGACGCTGTTAAAAGTCCCAACTATCCGGCCAATGGGGCTGCTAGGGCTAGGTGCGATTGCAGTTGCGGTGGAGGCACATGTGGTAGGTTTAGGGGTGAAACGAAGACTGTTGCACACGGCTGCGATGCGTGGAAGCTTGCAATAATCGTTCACGTGGCATCTCTGACATTCCTCAGCGGATCACGGCCGTCGTCCATTTGAGATATGTTGCCTTCGACACCCTTCATGCTACGACCACTTGTTCCAGTTTTGCAGGTAGTGATGGTCGTCACCAAAACACTGTTTGATGAAGAATGCCATATATGGTACCAGTAAGGACGCACAATCTCACGAAAAAGACTCTGTTAATAGGTGCTGACGATGCATTGAGCGCGGTAGGAAGACATACTAGTGTCGCCTAACGCTTGCATGGCCAGTGAGTACAATGTAGCTACGTTTTGCGCCGTGAGAAAGATCGCAGAACAAATTAGAATGTACGTCCCGTGCCACTGTGGTGTCGTCTCTTGTTGGCCACCATGGCATGTGACATGGACACCGTGATGAGACCCTTGAGAAAATAGAGGGCACACTTGAAAGAGGTGTGAACCGTCAACAGACGTTTGTCAAGGTGTGGCTGAGAAGCGGTGATCATACTTTGAAATTCACGTTAAAAGAACTTTAGCAAACACACTTCCTAGTCTATTCAACTAGCGTTCAAAGTAGAAGGTCAGTGTGGCACAGCTATGAGTGCACAGGTCGAACTAGTGGTTATGAGGAGTCGCCTTGTATTCGATGCCTCTCTACACAACTCGAACGCTTTGCACAACTCGATTTGCGCCGCATATTCCACGCCATCAAGACAGCGAAAACATGTGTCGGACACGTCCGGTACGAAAGCCCACCCCTACGAACAGAGGGTTGCAGTTGGTTCGTGTCACCAGCGTTGGTTGGTTGGTGAGTCTAGCATGAATGCACAATCACACATGGTGGTTTCCAGAATTTCCACGTGCAATCGAGCAATGTACTCCAAAGATCTCATATTTCATTTGACATTCTGTCATGAACACGGGTATCCTCTACTGCGTCACGGCTTACGTCGTCTGGGGCGTCTTGCCCATCTACTGGAAGCAGCTCGAAGTCGTGCCCGCCGACCAACTCGCGCTCCACCGCATTGTCTGGTCGTTTGTCTTCCTCTTGATCGTGCTCGCGATCAAGGGCGAGTTCACCGCCTTGCGCCAAGAAGCCCGCGGCTGGCGCGTCTTTGCCGTCTACACCGTCTCGAGCGTAGTCATCCTCGCCAACTGGATGACGTATATCTGGGCCGTCAACGCCGGCTACATTGTGCAGACGAGCCTCGGGTACTTCATTACGCCGCTCATCAACGTCATCATCGGCGTCGTCGTCTTCAAGGAGAAGCTCCGGCTCTGGCAGTGGCTCGCGATCGGCGCAGCGTTTGCGGGTGTCTTGGTTGTTGCGATTGCGTACGGCAAGTTTCCGTGGGTCGCGCTCACGCTCGCGGTTTCCTTCTCGATCTATGGTGTCCTCAAAAAGCAAGCGCCGCTCAACGCTCTCCACGGCATGACGGTCGAGACGGGCATCCTCTTTGTGCCGGCCGTCATCTACCTCTCAGTCGTCCAAGCTCAGGGCAACGGCGCCTTCTTGCACGTCAGCACGACCGCCAACATCTTGCTGGCTGGCGCGGGCATCGTGACCGTGATTCCACTCTTGCTGTACGCGTCGGCGGCGCAAAAGATCCCGTTCAGCCTCCTCGGCATGCTGCAGTACATTGCGCCGAGCCTCATGTTCATCATGGGCGTTGCCGTCTACAATGAAGATTTCTCGCTGGTGAAACTCATTGGATTCGTCCTAGTGTGGGTGGCGCTCGCCGTCTACTCGGTCGAGGGTTTTGTGTATCAAAAGCAGCAAGTGGCCAAGCCGGCGGCTGTCGAATCGCCACGGGGCGATGAGGCCGCATACGAGCGCGTCTAAGGACTTGGTTCCGAAACGACTAGTACTTATTGGTCAACTTGGTTTGTTTTTGTGTTCTCAGTCAACTCGCTCGCCTTCCTCTTTGATGGCGCTTTTTGCTCAAGCTGTGGCCGGAGTCGTGCCACACGGTTCACCGCGAAGGACGCACTGTCAAACAACAGCGATGCCGCGCAAACAGCTTCTGTGGTACAGCACGGTTCTTCCGTGCAGCAACGCCATCCAGACCGTCGGCACGATCCACCCTCTGTCAAACGATACTACCTTCGCTTATACATTGGGCTGGGTGTCCTAGCCGTGCGATCGATTCGTTTGCCTATTAACAGCTATTTACGTCGTGCGTTGCAGCTGTTTGCTCTGAGATCGTGCCATGTGCATGATCCATCAGCATCGGTGCAGCTTTGAACCAAGTGGCGTGAAAAATCCAGTACTGATTTCCAAGAATAAGCTATGCAATAAGATATGGACGGCGTCCATTGTCGTCGGCATAATTCGAATTTGGTGGCATCAAAATCCAACAAAAGACAACTTGTTTGATTTTACAGTGTCGCTCTACGCAGACGCCTTCTGCGTCTATCGCTAGAACGCGTTTACACGCGGACATACGGTGTGGTGCCGTCGGCCTCGGCGTCCGCTTTCGCCTCACTTGTCACGTCGGCAGCATCGACGGGCGGTGTCTGCTTGCTCGACTGTTGATGGACGACAATACCTTCGGTCGAGTAGATGGCGAGGGCCACCCAGACAAGGATGAAACCAATGAGCTTGAA